AAGAGAGTAGAATGAAGTAGAGTAATTTCTGTTAAGATCTAGACCTTCAGGCTCTTGCCTTAATATGGGTAGAACTGTTTTAGTGCTAGCAACTTGATCTTCTCCTGACCAAGCCCCAATGTGTTTTTATTGGAAAAATAAGAGGGAAAAAGGAAGTCATGTGGGAACTATTAACAACTCATTTGCTTCCATTCAGTCATTTATTCCAAAAGCATTAATTCAAAATATTCGTTGAGCCCCTATAACTTACAATGTTGTAGGAACTGCTCAGTTCAAGGTGCAAAGAAGTTAAAAAAAAAAAAAGTCCCCACACTGCTCCCAGATTTCTTATAGAATCCTAGGCAAATAGCTTCCTTGAACTGATAAGCCTCATGTTCGGATCTTCAATTAGTCTTTTCTATTATCTCAGTCTTAATGGCTATTCAATTTTAAATCAAGTGCGTGTGTGTGTGTGTGTGTGTGTGTGTGTGCGCGCGCGCGCGCGCGCTCGCGCGCGTCATTCCCTCTTTCTGCTTTATGTTTGCCATGGAGAGTCAGAAAACAATAACAAAAAATTGTCTCTTGCTTCTAGGAAACATAGCATGGAAAAGGATCAGATTGCAGAGTATTATTGTGATTCTTAGGATGGTGGTTAGCAAGTAGTTTTCCAGATGGGATAGAGATTGGATAAATGCTAAGTGGACAGTGTTAACTGGAAGGACACTTTGGCATCCCAAGGTGAATAACATAGATGACTTCTTGACAGATATTATTTTTTGAAGTCAGTTTTCTAAGGGTCTTTTTCTCAGAATCACCCCCCCCCCAATACTCATTTTAATTTGCTTTGTTTTGGAGCAACTTTGTTGTCTAGAGATACAGTTTACAATTTGTATAAATACATGTAACAGGAAAATGTAATGGAGGGCAACATTATAAAAATTCTAATTTATTCATTCACTAAATGTTATTTTAAAGCACTTATGTCTCCTTTTATAGTTAATTTCATAGAGCCTACTGAGTTTTTTCCCGAGAATTTTGATGGAAATAATAGGTTGGCTCATAGTACTTAATTTCTTTCCTTATACCCAATGTTGAAATTTGTAAGTCTCTTTGTACCCTCCCTTCTTTTTCACATTCTCATTTTTTACCTTCTAGTGGCCATATATTTAACACGTATAGACAATTATTTTAGTCATCACCAGTGTATCTGTACATAATATGCTTATTATTGTTACCATTTTATTTTCCAACTTCAGACTCATCAGCTTTCTAATATTAAAGTTAGGACTTGAAGTTGTCTTTTTTATTACATGCTCTACCCCATGGCACATATCCCATCTCCTTTTATAGTTCACAAATGGTTATATTTTAATTTTGATGTAATAACTTATTTATTGTTTATATTATTTTGATTATATGAATGCCATTCACAACTGRAAAATGTAGTGTATAATGTTTACTTTTCTTGTCCAACATATTGGTTTCTCTGTTTTCATTTGGTTAGTTTTTTTGTCACTAATCCAACCCTAAAATTTCCCCTCATTTAAAAAAATTGCATTAATGATGGTAAAAYATATGACATAGTCTATTAATTTCATTTGCTTGAATACATCCTGGAGGAGCTTCCTGATCTGCTTCAACCTAGACTGGTTGTTCTCTGATCCTGTGACATAGGTATCTTGGGAATTTAGTTTACCATCATCATTCTGGAAGAATTCCCTTTTCATTTCACATTTTACTATAGTTGGATCTCATTTCCCAGTTCCACATAGTCTTCGTTTTTATCTTATTCCTTAGGTTTAATGCCATAACTTTTTTAAGAAAGTGGGAAATAAAAAAATGTTTCAAGACTATAGGTGGGGATATGACTTTATTTGTTCTTCAGTTATTTGTTGGTTTGGCTAATTATCSAATTCTATGTTATAAATCATTTTCCCTTTGAATTTTAAAAGCATTGTTCCATTGTTTTTCATTGATGCTGTTGTGAAATCTGATGCCGTTATTTCATTCATTCTCTCTATAAACCCTATTTTATGTCTTGGGAAGCTTCTTGAATCTGATCTTTGCTCTACTGTGTCTTGGTGTGGGTTTCTTCTGTTTTCTTGGKTACTTGATAGACCTATTAAATCTGTATATAACATCCTTTAATTTTAGAAAATTTTCTTGAATTATCTTGTGAATGATTTTTTACTTTTTGACAATTGTTAAACCTAGATATTCTGAAAATTTTGAATGTAAATTCTCATGCTGATAACAAAGTTTCCACGTCTTTTCCTGCCATGACACAAAAGAATGAATTACATGATCTCTTAGTTGTTTGGTCAGGCTTATGATTCTGTAACTTAGATGAAAGTCGTATTTGGTGTTGGTACATTCTTAGAATATTTGTATTTTAGAGGCTAGCATGTTAAGTTGCAGAAATACTCTAAAATGTTTTGTAGGAATGCATTTTAGATAAAATAATATTTGAAATGTACTGGAGTGGCTAAATCTATAACAAGGCCACACTTGTAATATTTCCTTTTAAAAACTAATTTTAAATTTTTGTATTTTGTAAAATTGATTATTACAAATGAATGCTATTAATTTTCTTTCCTCTTACTCCTCAGAATGTTCAAAGAGAAACAAACTTGCAGGATTTGATGTTTACATTAGAGAAAGATTATTGCTTTAAAATAGTTTTTACTTCTCTAGTACTATATTCTAAGAAACAGGGACACATTTTTTAAAATGAAATATATCAATATTGCTTTGAAAAAAATGAAGAGGAAATCTGTCATTTGCCTTTAGTATATAGAAGTTGCTGGGWTATGGAAAATATCAGGAATTACTAATATGTTCTTTTGTGAGCTAAATCAGACTTAGGATGGTAGTTGATTCATTACCATAACCAAACAAACTGAAATGATTGTTTTGTATGGGTATTTGTTTTTGTTTTCAAATTTTCTGGCACCTTACAAATAATTTATTGGTWTGTGATTTATGAAAAAGCCTAAGAGAATTACTCTAAAAATACCATTCTTTTGAAACCATATTATTTGAGTATGGCATTTTTAGATACTAAAAATATCTTTTAATTGTCTCTTGAGATTTGTGGGATACATGTGGCTAAGACAAGCTTGGTGTTTATAGTCTGACTAGGTCAATTCTCAGTATCCATATAATTCTTCTTTCATAATTTCTTCATGAAAAAAATAATCATACAGATTCTGTTCACTTGCAACACAAAATTAATATAAATTCTATTTCAAACTAACCACCATCAAAAATTTGTAAGTCTGGYTTATATTTTGTAAGTGCTGTATGTGGATGCCTTGCTTAGCTTAATTTTTGGAGAAATACATCTTTTAGAATTTTTCATCCAATTGTTAAAAATTGTGGTAATGGTGACAATATGCTATCATATTCTGGTTCTAAGAGTAATGCTCTTAGGTGTTTTCAAAAATCACATACCAATGCCATTTTAATGCCCTTTTTGTTTTAAATCTATCTACCTACTGAGTTTTTATGCAAACAAATTTGCTTTGCCTATTAAAATATCCATGAAGATTAACATTTTWAACTTTTATTTTAACAATTTTCTAAGTTCTCCTTTCAAAGGCACTAATACTAATTTCAGTGAGCAAACAGAGCATGTCTACAGATGACTGCTAAAAGCCAGGAATCTTAGAAAATGCCTTTAGGATTATTACTTGACATATGGCTTAATTTCCATAGCTGTTTTATGAGAAGTGGGAGAGAATTATTTTCCTGTAATCAAGTCTATCTTGTATTACTGTGTCAAGGAAACTATAATTAGTATTTGAATATATTCACTTTTGAAAGAAAAAAAACCCAGGTATTACTGACCAAAGTGTCACTTGCAGCTGCTGACTCACAATTTTGAGTTCCAAATCATATCTTGAAAAACTATGTAAGAAATTTTTTTCCATATTAAGGCRGACCATCTAATACTTATTTTTACCTTTTCAGGTTTTTTAGTTCTTTCATGGTTTGTTAGGTAAAGCTGCTATTTTGTGTTTTTTTTTTTTTTGAGAGAGAGAGAGAGAGAGAATTTTTTTAATATTTATTTTTTAGTTTTTGGCGGACACAACATCTTTGTTTGTATGTGGTGCTGAGGATTGAACCCGGGCTGCACGCATGCCAGGCGAGCACGCTACTGCTTGAGCCACATCCCCAGCCCCTGCTATTTTGTTTTTTAAGCACAGGTACTAGTATGAGTTCATCCTTCCATTTTTATGTGTTTAGAACAGAATGAAGTATATGTTATCCTATTGCTTGTCTCTTACATACTTTAAGGTTAAGGAAGAGAGGAAATCTGGATATTTGCTTGTGTTTTTCTCATCCCTAGTCTCCCATGAATACATGACTTGATTTATCTTGATCAGCCTAGTAACTTGCTCCACATTTTTCCAAAAGTGCAAAGCAGTTTCAGCTAAAAATACACATATCAAAATGCTCCAAAAATTGTGGCCACAGCTCAAAAATGCTGATCAATTTTGAAAATCTAAATCAGCCCGGCCATGAAACCGAGGGAAGAACCTTTGTGGTGAAGGACAGATTTCCAACAATTCACCACAGTCCTGTTCTTAGCTAGCGTTTGTGCTGATGTTGCCAGACAACTGAGGAATAGATGCAAAAAGCAGGAAGCATTATTGAATTGAGCCCTAGCGCCAATTTGGGAAAAGAAAATTAAAATGTAAAAGAATATTTTTCCACTCCTGGCGTCTGAACATAAAATGGCAAAATACATGGTTACTGAAAAAGTTACAGAAATTGCTAATTTTGCCAGAAAGTCAAAGTCAATTACCATTTTTTTTTGGTGTTAAAAAATGCATACATTGATAGTTTAAACTTTTTTTTTTAACACATAAGAAGTAGTTTTCCTGTAAGAATCAAAATGTGTATACATTTAAGTTGGGGGAAAAAATCAAAATGTATGTACATTTAAGTTGGGGAAGTGTTTTGACATAAATGGCTGTGTGTGTGGCCTTATTTTAGTGTCTTTTGATATTTTTCAGGTGACACTTGAAGAATGGATGATGATGATTTTGGTGGTTTTGAGGTATGTATTATTATTTATGTTTTGGGGTTTTAACTTTTGTAAGGTTATAATGCAGTAATCTATTTTGAAAATATATTATTTTTTGTTGGCATTCATGATATTTTCTTAATCATCTTGACTATAATCCTGGAATTAAAAAAAAAGAGAATTCAAGAAAAATTAAAAAATATCATCCCTCTGAAAGTCAAAACTGATTTATTATTATTGAAGGTTTGGTTTTACCCATAGGAATGATTTAAATTGAGGTAATTAAGTGCTACCAGTAGAAGCACTAAAGAAGAGGTTTTAAAAATTGTCAGCAGATGATTTTGCTGGGATACATATCTATTAGGAAATACTTGTGAGATGAGGAATGAGTGTTAGAGATCTTGTCACATTTGCATGTTTACACCTGTAACGAGTTGATTTAGCATATGAAGTACATAGCCTTTTGGTGGTTTATAAAACTAATTAGCATGTTTGTGTTATTAGATTATTCTCTCAGGTTTTGGTTGGATACTTTGTAAGTGGAAATTGTTAACTGAAGAAGCAGTGTCTTTTCCTTAATCCTTTTCAATGTGAGTTCATTTTATTGAAATATTTTATAACCCAGTTATTTTTATGGAGCCAGTATAGTCTTGCAGGAAAATCTCTGGATTAAGAGTCAGGATGCCTGAGCTCAAGTCCTGGAACTACCATCAAGTGAGCTCTGCGATTTTTTTTTTCTTTTTTTTTAAAGTACAATTTTCACCTCACTTGGATTTGATAAAAAGTGAATCATAAAATTAAGGAATGTAATTAATGTCATTAATAGGAGAAATAAGGTTTTAAGTATACATATAATGTTCTTAATTTTATGAAAGAATGGTGTTTTTTTTGAAGTTAAGATAACTTTCTGTTTTGTTTATCTTTAATATCTATCAATAGGAGCTATTTAGTGTATGGACAAACCTATTTTTTGTGTTTCATCYAACACTGGTTTTTGCTTAGCACATTTGAGTGTTTTCTGCATTTTATTTAGTATTTTAGTTTTTCTGAGGTGATTGAATCTTATTTATATTATTGAAATATAWTATTTCCATATTATCATCTGGTTAATTGTTAAACAATTGTTAATTGTTTGGAAATTGTTGGCTATTTGGAGGATACAGTCAAGAATAATTCCCTTTGTTTAAGCCATCCTTAATATATAAAATATATAAAACTGAATGGGTAGTGCTCTTTGAGTAACAATTATACCTCAATATTATGTTCAATCCATGTATTCCTTTCACTATTTCATAGGTGCAGTGTCAACTGACATTGTAATAATTGTTGCTATTAGGTTTCTTTTCACCCCAGCTGTAGAAGCATGTCAGGCTACTATCCTTGGTCATATAAAATATGCTTATTTTTTTTTCAGCTTGTAGCAAGTAGTACTATATCCAGTGTCACTTAGTTCCTGTGGCAGATTGTTTCAYTTGACTTCTCCTTGGCTGACAATTCAATGCAGAATTCAAATTGAAATTATAGCTCTAATTTTTAGTAATAATTTTACTGTGACCTGGTCACCTAAGAGACAGAAAACTCTGTATTCTTACCCACAAACTCAAAATTCAGTAATTGACTGTCCCAAAATTGGAGCACTTGATCATCAAAATGTCAGTTTTAGGAATTTTCTAATGTTAATGCTAGTAAGTCCAGCTAGTAATTATTCAAGTAGCTAGAGAATTCCTTTCCTATTTTTTTTTAAATACCTAAATCTAATGTGAATTAATTTAAAAGATTTGGGTTCTACATTTTTAATTTTCTAAATCTCTAAGTCTAATGTGAATTAATTTAAAAGATTTGGGCTCTATATTTTTATATTTCTTATATGGATGGGTAAATATTGTGGTGAATTAAGTTAGAATAGTTAAAAAAAAGTTCACAAATGAAAACATGATTAAGGATGTCTGAAATAAAAATTTCATTGAGATGAGATTTATTTGAACAAGGAAGAAAGATATTTACTTGAAGATAATASGATATGGGCGCTGTGGGTGGTAATGTATGGTAGGGAAGGCAGCAATAAACCCTGAAGAGCAACTGGGTATTTAGAATTTGGAAGTATTTGATGTTCTATTCTCATGTATAACTAATTAAAACAAATAAAAAAATTAAAAAATGTTTTTAGTKTATTACAGAAGATAGGCATATTTGATCACTTAAATAGAATTTCTACTTTTTAGATCTTCTAAAATAATCTTGCCTTTTTGTTTATTTGTTTGTTTTTCCTAGGCTGCAGAGACTTTTGATGGTGGAAATGGTGAAACCCAAACAACATCTCCTGCTATTCCTTGGGCTGCCTTCCCTACAGGTACTGATAGACAATAATTAGGAGTTTTTCCCCATTTAACATTTTTGCCTTTTTCAGAATCTTTTTCTACTTTTTCACTTGTCCTTCTCTGATCAGAAGATTGACTCTTTAATCTAGTTTTAATTTTAAAGAGAAAATTATGAATTACATTACAAATTCCATGATAATGGCTTGATCCTAAAAATGATCTTCGGAACATTAAATGAAATTAAAGTATAATTTATATTTTTCTAATTTATCTTAGTTTTAGAAAGGTGAGGTGTCAAATAATTTTTTCGTCTTGATCATTTGTTAAAGACTGCCATTTAATATCCTAAAAATAACATTTATTTGCTAGTATTTAAATTGCTCATAGTAAAATCATTTAGAAATATTGAACATTAAAAATAAATCATCAAGGCTGGAGGTGTAGCTCAATGGTAGAGTTTGTGCTTAGTATGTACAAGGTCTTGGGATTTAAACCCCTGACACACACACACACACACACACACACACACACACACACATGCATGCACAAGTCATTAAAGAAATTAAGTACAAAAAATTATATTATTGAGAAATATTTCTAAGAAATCTAATGTTCAGTAGTAGTATAACTCATGTCTATATAAGAATTTGACTTTGCTAGGCTTTTTTTTTTTTTTGTCAAATCATTATAAAGTTAGGGCTTAAAGATGAAAGTCTTTTTCTTTGACAGTTTTGCCTGATCCTAGATTATTGGAGGTATGCATCCTACAAGTGTTTATTGAGTGCTTAGTTTGCATTAGACCCCATGAGGATACAGTGTTGTGTAGAGCATAGTCTAATCCATATTTCAAGGGCAAGGGCAAGCACATGCATACTTATTTTGTGAAGCACATTTGTCATTTGAAAGGAATGATGATTTTGTCACCCATTCATTTAGTAAATGCTTATTTCATGCCTGGTGTGGCTGAGTCAGTATATATTGTTGATCTGAACTTTGAAAGATGCATGTGATTTCAAAAGACAGATATGGATGGGATAGTAGTATGTGATTAAACCTAGTGCCCCCTGCATGTGAGGCAAGSGCTCTACCACTGAGCCATAACCCTAGCCTCAGTAGGGGAGGATTTTGAAGGGAGGAAGACAAATGGAACAAAAATGCAACAGAGGAACAAAAAGGGATGGCCTAGATAGAATGCTCATTCTTGCTTCATGTTTTGTGTACTCTGCCCAGAATTGTCTCCCTTACTTCCCATGCTACTTTTCCCCATTTGTTACCGTCTTACTTATTAATTATGTTATTTCTTGCTTTAATGTTTCTTTTTCTGTGAAACTTCCCACTAAACCCTCTCATGTCTACATGCAACTTATTATCCAACTTTCAGTTAGATTTTAAGTTTTGTGAGTTTAGCCATCATGTCTATTTGTACTATTATTGTATCTTAACTGCCAAGCATAGTGTCTAGTTTATAGTTGTCCCTTGATAAGTATTTGTAGAATGAATAATTGGAAAAAATGAATGAATTTAGTAATGGAATCAATGAATAGATTAAGATGGCAGTAGAAATCAATAGGAAGCATAAGGATAATAAATGATATTTGTGTAATGTATTTATGTACAGAACAACTACCCTTTTCCTGTTGTGCAGATGAAAAAATGATGGTATAGGTATGTTTAGAGATGAAATTTAGTCTTTCTAATTCTATTTCAGTTCTTTTCAGTAACTTAATTTTTTTAAAAAAGGCACCAGGACTTTCTGACTAGATGTGATTRTGAAAGAGGAGTCAGATTGATTTTTGAGGTTTCAAGCCTTGATTATGAAGAAATGTTGTTAGTATGACTAGAAATAGAAATAGAGAATTTCGGGGTTGGTTTTAGAGAGAGTGGGGACATAATGAATTCTCTTAAACTTGTGTATTTAAGGTCTCTAGAACTGAGTAGAAAGGTCAGGGCTAGAGTTCTGAGCTTGGGAGTTGTAGATTAATCTAGAGATGTAACTCAGTGGTAAAGCATTTGTCTAGTACATGTAGGCCCTGGGTTGGGTCCTCAGTACCAGATTAAAATAAAAAGGTCACAAAAAGTTGCAGGGGATCACAGGAAGAAACAGTGTATAGAAAGAGTAGGGCTGAATGGATTAATACAGGTGTCCATTGAGAATAGAATTCTGTGAGGTAAGGGGAGGGTAGTTAAGTACTACAGCATAGAAATTAGAAAAGTTAGAAAAAGCTATTATCAATTAGTGTCAAAGGCTGTAGAGAGGATGATTGGTGAGATTGTAGGTTCATGGAAAACCCATAGGTGGCTAACCATGGTTTTTGAGGAAATAGATTCAGTAGATTTGAAGTTGAAACCAATTTTTAACTTTCTATAAAAGCAGGAACAGAATCTGTTTTTCTGTAATAACTTATGGCAGTATACTAAAGAATTATATATTATGGGAAAATTATCTAATTTCTGTTTCTCAGAAATGAACACTATATGATTTTTGTGTTCAGATCAATACTATATGATATGTGTGTTCACTATATGATTTTTCAAGTCTTCAAAGTCTTCAAAGCTGAAACCAGTTAGAATTAAAGAACAACTTCTTTTCTGTGTGTGTGGGCGCACACACACACATACACACACAGAGTCTGTTCCTCACTTCCTTAAAACAAAACAAAATCTCCCAGAGCTATAGAAAGTACTCTTTTGGGATTTTTTTTTTTTTTTTTGCAGAAAGGAGAAAAAACAAACCTGGTTAAGGGTTGAAGTTAAAAACCTGCTACATGTTCTTCTAGCCAAAGCAATCTTTTTTCTCTTCCATAGGTAGTTTGTTTTCTTCTGGCTCCTGGGGAAGTCAGCCTCTGATTTAGGTAGCTAAAAAATGTTTAGATGAGAGTGATATGAATAGGCTAATTGGCATAACAATTTAGTCATTTCTACACTAACACCTGTGAAGATAGAACCTTTAAGAGATCTGAGATTCTTTTCAGCCTAAGACAAATTTTYTGCTTGTTTTTTTTCTACCTGAGGTATAGCCTCAGCTGTCTATGATATATATGAAAAATATTTCTTGAAATAGATGAATATTAATCAAGTTTTACTGTAGCTTAAAATTTAAGACGATAACTCAGTAATATTGTTTTAGGTTTTGAAGTATTCATGGGGGAAATGAAAATCTTCACTCTTGGTGTTAGGTTAAGGAATTTTGTTAGAGTATAATGGATTAGTAGATCTTGTGTTTGTACTTTTTCAGGACTCAGGGTTAGATGGAGCATGATTTTTGTAATAGCAACAGGAATAATTAATGGATTTCTCCAAGTGTCTGTTTATAACCTGCCAATCTGTCAGTAGGTCCAAGTACCTCAAGATCTGCATTTTTCTGTACATTAGCATCATTAACATAATGGAGCCTTTTAAAATTCTAGCTTATATGTAATTCTGATGATGAAATTAATTAATTAATTAATTGCCAGATAGCATAAATGAAAGCAAATTCTTATCTGTGGGCTTATATCATGGTAGAGCATCTAACTTGTAATATGTGTCTTTACACATCCATTATCAGGAATTGGAGGAGGTAAGTGATGAATATGAAATTAGCAATCTCTTCTTTACCTTTTGCTCTTACTCTCTATAAACATGGATATTATTACTTTATTTCAKTGAAAGCTATCCAAGAAGAATTGCCTTTATTCAAACWTTTTCCTCCTTTTCCATAGTCTTACCTTCTAGATTGCTTTCTATGATTATTCTCTTAGAAGCCTGTGAGCTAAACTRTGATCTATGTAGTGTTTCTGTGCCTTTGCCATTGCTCCTAATTGTAATATCTTTCCTCGTCTCCCATATGCTTACCTGAGTCATATTTTTTAAGAAAAGCTTTATACTAAATTTATTCTAAATTAGTTCTGTATCTCATTAACTTCTTCCTATGAGGAACTGTTATCATTTTATTCCTGTAGTACTTGTTTTGTGCTTAGTTCTTGCTAATTCATAGTTTTAAAAGTTGTGGTAAAACACATGCAACAGAATTTACCATCTTAATAATTTTAAAGTATATAGGTCAGTATTGTATCTTATAAAATCGAAACTCTATACCTATTAAACAACTCCCTGTTTTCCCTCTCTCCTCAGTCCCTGACAATCACCTTTGTACTTTCAGTTTCTTTTTCTTTTTTTTATTGATTTTATTATTTTTTTGTACTTTCAGTTTCTATGAATTTGTTATAGATACCTCTTTAAGTAGAATCACACAGTATGTGTCTTTTGTTTTGGGCTGGGCATTGATCTCAAGAACTTGTATATGTTTGTCAGGTGCTATACTACTAAACTACATCTACAGGCCTTTTGAAAAAAAATTATTTTGAGGCAGGGTCTTGGTAAGTAGCTCAAACTGGTCTCAAATTTTTTATCCTTCTACCTCAGCCTCTTGAGTAGCTGGGATTACAGGCATGAGCACCACATTTGGCCAGTATTTGTCTTTTTGTGACTGTCTTATTTTACTTAGAATAACATCTTAAAGATTCATTCATGTTGTAGCATGTGTCAAAATTTACTCCCTTTTTAATCCTGTGTAATATTCCATTGTGTATTTTGATCTCCTTTCTTAATACATTCATCTGTTCATGGATATTTGGGTTGATTCCACCTTTGACTATTTTAAATAAGGCTGCTATGAATATGGGTGTTTATTTTGTAATTTTAGTATCATTTTATCAGTATGACTCATCTCTATGTTTCCTTTTTAGTCTGAGCTTTGGAGGACAGAGACCAGGTTTTAAACTTTTCCAGCCCCTAAGTGCCTAATATAGCACTATGCCTTGTTAAAAATCAGTGCCCACTATTTCCTGGTGATTAGTAGAACAGATTTACTTTCAGTTATCTCTTCTTGATTATTTTTAATTCTGTTGGGTGAATTAAATAGTCTTTCGATGATAAGTTAGAAGGGTACAAACCTAAACTTTCCTTTAAAAATACATTAATCTTGAAAATCTTTGGTATTTATTCAAAGATAGCTAAGAAATTATTTCCTTTGGGACTTAGTTTACTTCTG